GGAATTGTGGCCAGGGAAGGTGGCTGTGAACTCAGAACTTGAGAACTATTGGAGAGCGCTCTTCAGATTAAAAGTGCCGGATGAATTATTGAGAGGCTGTGCATTATTGAGCAGAGGCGCTCTAAGCAACAGATGGGGGCTGGACCTGGATCTGAGCAGAGCGGCTCCCCCCCCCCCAAGTGGGGCAGGCCAGCCAGGGCCTGACGCAGGACCCTCTCTGGCCTTTCTCCCTGCGGAGGCACCTGAAGCACAGCCAGTCCCGGCCCTTCTCGGTCATCTGTCCGGCTGGCCTTGCAGCTGGGCTGCGCTGCGCTGGGAGCTGCCTCTGGCCCCAGACGCTGGCCGGCGGCCCATGTGAAACCTGGGGGTGGGGGGAAGAGGAATCTGGTGCCTGCGGCATCCTCCCACCTCCTCCTGGGAGGAGGGGGCCTTCGAGGGCACGGGTTGGCTGCCAGTTGCGCTGGGCTTCTGGGGAGGGGGCTGCAGTCAGCCTTCACTCCTGCTGTGCTGGAACCCCGGTTCTGCCCCCTCCCTTGGAGCTGAAACGGCCTGCCGCACGGTGTCCATTTGCAATCCTATCCCCCCCCCACCCCGTGCATGCGGTTTGTGTTGCATGTGTGGGACTTGGGAAGTTCTCGTGTTGGTCTGAGCAGAGCAAGTGCCAGGCAGTGGAGGGTCTGCGCCGGCACTCCTGTTGAGCTCCTTCGGACCACCGGCTTGTGGGCGGTTGGGTGACCCCCTCCCCACCTTTCCGGCTCCTGCGTCTGTGAGGAGCTGAATCCATATCTCTGGGCGGTGCTTTTTCGGGATGAGTGGACTGTGCGTTTGGGGTGTGGGGTCGGGAGAACCTGTGCTCTGGCCCTGACCCTCTTGCCCGTCCTCCAGTCTATTTCCGGGCCCTGGTGAATTTCACAAAGTCCATTGACTATTCCCCGCGCCTGGATGACGTCAACTCGGAGGAGTTTCAAGATGTCTCCAAAGCGGTAGTGGATACGGTGAGTGGCACCGACAGAGCCCAAAGTTCTGGCCCCGTTTCTCTCCTCCCCCCCCCCTCTTTAACTGTGGCCCATTTCTTGTTGTGGGAGTGGAGGCCTTGGGAAACTGCCTGTGTCAACACACAGCATAGCAGTGCCCTCCCTCTCCCCCCCCCCCCGAGGGGCAGAGCCACAAAGGGGATCCAGCTGAGTCCTCCGGATGTTGGGACCTGAGAGAGGGGGAGGCTGAGGGGTTTCCTGCTGGGCGGTGGGGGGGGGCGTGTCTGCCCAGGGCCACACTCTGATGCTTCCTCTCTCCTTCCCCAGCTGGAGTCTGAATACTACAAGATCCCCGGGGAGCAAATGGTCAGCGTGGTCTTCGTCAAGTGAGTTGCGGGGGGCCACTCCCGAGCAGGCACTGAGTTCTCTGTGGGGGCAGCACCCGCTGTCTCCATCCCCTGGCAGAGAGAAAGTCGGAGGTGTGGAGTGTGTCAGACCCTGAGGGAGAGAGGGGTGTGCAGATGTGCCCCCCCCCCGTGCCTGGGCAGTAGGCTGGCCTATGACCATTTTAAATGAGTGAATAAAATGAGGTGCCTCACCCAGAGCTCCTCCCACCCTTGCCCCCGCCTTCTCTGTGCCCGTAGAGGAGTCCTAGGGCAGCTCTGACAGTCAGAAGCGTGCGGCTTGTAAAGAAAGCCGTTGTCGTCCCACAATCGTTTCCCGAGGGTGCCGGGGCTGCGGCCACACCGGAGTCTGAGCTCCTGGCACTGTGGCTGCGTCTCTCCTTTTGCAGATTAGGACCATTTCCCCCCCCATTCCCCCCCCACACACAGGGAGATCAACGGTGACATCTTCGTGGAGCTGGACGTGGGCTCCGAGGGGAACGTGGACGAGGAGCAGATCCGCCAGGTGCTCTACTCGGTCATCGAGAGCGGCTCCATCGCCTCTTACGTCACTTCGACGTGGGGCTTCCAGTTCCGCCGCCTGGGAGCAGGTGATCTAGCCGACTGGCGTTTGTGTGTGTGTGTGTGTGCGTGTGTTTTGGGGGGGGAGTCGTTCTGGGATTGTGAGTCGCCCCCGCGGTTAATTCTCTTTTTGCTTGCAGCCCAAACCCCACCTCCCCCCCTTGCCGTGGAGCCCCCAGGTGAGTGTTCAGGTGGAGACGTGGAGCGGGACCCGGAGGCTTCCTCCCACCTGGGCGGGGAGCAAAGGCAGGGCCTGGGGGGGGCAGTGGGGAGAAGCAGCAGCAGCTCGTCCTTCCCTGACCAGTCGAGGGGGGAGGGGCCTGTGCGTGGCACACCTGTGCCCCCCCCCCCGGCCCCCCTCCTTGCCCCCGGCTCACTGGA